AGGAGGGATTTAAGTTAGAAAGAGCTTTGAATGTCAAACAGAGCATTTTGTATTTAATCCTGGAAGCAATAGGGAGCCATTGGAGTTTATTGAGACCTAGTAGGACCTGGTAGCACCGTCTCTACCCCTTGAACACTTAAAGCAGTGCACTCTAACTACCTAAAAATACCTAAGCTACCCACCTACATATTTTCCATGTGCATCTCTAATCTCTGTCCTCCCCACCCCCACCCTTCCTATACACTAATGCAGCTGTGGGACCTCTCCTTTGGCCTCAAATCAGACCAGTTTTACCCTCACTCTCTAGTATGGGCCAGTCATAAGCAGAGAGGCAAAAGGAGAGAGTTGGAGGGGGTGGGGCAGGCAGGTGAACTGAGGACGCTGTCTCAGCTACTGGCTTCCTGGCTCCTCAAGCTTTACGTCAAAGCTGGGCTTTTTGTATTAATTTCCTTTGCTAATGGCCCCACGGGAAGGAGAAAAAGCCCTGGAAGATCCGCTGGTAGCTGGTCAGGCACTGTATATTCCCCCTTGCTATAGCTAGCTGGCAGGCAGGAAGGGGTGGAGATATGCAAGGAGACTATAGGGTGGGGCAGCGTAAGGTAGGGGAAGAGGATGGGGATTCCTTTGGCCCCCTGGGGGAAAATGTTTCCAAGGAATTACCATGTTAGTGGAACCACTAGATAGGTACTATTCTTGCCTGGGTCTGAGTTGTCAACCCCCTACCACACCTCCCTCAGTAGCCACAAAGATCTCATTTCTCTGCCTCCATTCTTGGCACAGGGGAAGAAAGAGTAAAGGAAATCATTCTCAAGGAGCCATGTGGCAAAAACTCTGTGGTGACGGTAGAAATATTGGACAGCCAGATTCTGCTGAGAGCGCTAGTTCAATTCCTGGTTTGGGAGAGCAAAAAGGAATGGTTAAGATCAATGATAATGTGGGGTTGGTGGGGTCATGATCTTTGGCATACAGGGCCAGTGACCTGATCTACATGTTGGAAAAAAGCTCAGTCAGTTAGGAGGCCAAGTTCCAATCCCACCCTATAGCAGATATGTGGCATTGGATAAGTGATTGGTTCCCTAGATTCTCAGTTTCCCCACATCTCACAAATCTTCCCACTCCCCATTCTCATGATTTTTTTTTCCTGCCATTCTACTTCCCTTTCTCCAACCTCAATCTAGTAATAGATTAGAACCAAGAGCTAGGGAAGGGTTCCTTTGGGCATGGGGGTCTTCATGGTATTCCCCCAAAATATACCACATCCTAGATGGGTAGAATCTGAACCTAGGAGGGTTTTGAGAATGTCTGGGGCAAGCATGTTTTTTTTTTTTTTTTAATTCCCTGGCTCAGAAGGGGAACTAAAGATGTTGTGAGCTTTAAGGGCAAAACTAGTCAGCAGTTTCAGCTTGTCAGTTTTCACATCTTTGCCTGGCTTAGTGATTGTAACTGGAGAGGAAGGGTCTTTTCACTAGTTGGGAAATTTCATTAACAAGTCTTCCCACTCTCTCCAGTTCTCTCGATGTTTTCTGTTATTCTATCTGCCTCTCACTCCAACACCTATGTAATAATAGATTATCAGGGCCAAGAGTTGAGGGAAGATTCTCTTGGGCATGGGGGGGGCTCTTCATGGTTGCCTCAAAAGCATACCACTAGAGATCATCTTGTCTAACTCCTTATTTCATTTTTGTTTTTAAAAAGTTTTATTAATGACTTTATTTTAATATCACAATTTTCTCTACTCCCTACTACCACCATTGATTGAACCCTTCTTCATAACAAAATAATTAAGAAAAAAAGTGACAGAATCTGATACCATATGCAACATTCTACACCTATTGCCCTTAACCTCTCTACTGAGGTTTGATTTTTTTTTTTCTGGGACCAACATTCAACCCTTTCATTTTACAGTTGAGAAAAGTCAGACTCCAAGGAGAAAAATTACTTGCTCAAAGTCACAAAGAAAGTCAGTGGTATATCAAGAAAACCTAAGTCTCCTGACTCCTAGTGTATTTACAACTATTTCTTATTTTCTTTCTTATTCATTCATTCATTTATTTAGCTTATTTTTTTACTCCTCAGCCCAGGCCAGCTTGAGAATATGGGTTACTGTGAACTTAAGCATTTTTCCCCACTACTGACCCATCCTATGCTTTTTTTTTTTTTTTTTTTGTGAGGCAATCAGGCTTAAGTGACTTGCCCAAGATTACACAGCTAGTGAGTGTGAATATGTGTCTGACTCCAGGGCAGGTGCTCTAACCACTGCACCACCTAACTGCCCCCTCCCCCATGCTCTTCTATAACTCACATTTTCTTTGTCCTTTCTAGTTTTTGCCTGTGTAATTTCAGATTACACATAGCATGTACAGAACTGCCCTGCCTGCCATGACCATGGGTACTGACTCTGTCCTGAAGAGCTTAAGTGATATGAGATCACTAAAGGGCTATTTGAATCTATTCCTAGAGGCCATGAGAGGAGAGGACTAGTCTCCTTCACTCCATCCATAGAAAAATGCCAAATTGTGACCACATGGCAACTAGGAGCAAGTGTTGGGCTAGGCAAGCTGAGCTTGGGTCCCTGGATGCCTTTTCAGTTTTGGTGGGTTTTGTTGTTTTTTAACTGATTTGAGGTGAACATGACCAGTCTTGGAGGTCACCCCATCAGTTTGAGATGTTAGAGATCCTGGGTCTGTCAGTGGGAGTTGAAAGGAGGCAAGGAGAGTTTCTGCGTGGAAGAAGATGATCAATGACAATAGAATGAGCTCAGACCCTGGCCTGGCTTGTAAGAAGACATCTGCCTTAAATGAATTGTTTAGACGGTGCAGAACTGAGGTGAAATAAAAAAAAAATTTAAAGAAAAAAAGCTTATTTAGCAGTTCCACTAAATGCTTAATGTTTCAATGGTTTTAATTCTCAACCTCCTAGAAGAGCATAACTATAGTTATTAGTTTGTCCTTCCTGTGTCTATCAGCCTTTGATGCTGATAACTGCTACCAGAATGTCTGCTCTATGGCACAAAAATGGTTAAGGAACCCTGGCATAAAGGATACCACTGAAGAAATATATGACCAGAAAAAGAAATTAACAGTTCTGAACCATTTGTAGGAGAATCTGACAAGAGTCACCCAGGTTGAGAGGATGTGAATGAACTGTGATCATAGGATCATAGAATTAAACCTGGAAGGGAACTTAGAGGTCATGTAGTACAACCCCATCTTTTTTTACAGATGAGGAAATTAGGTCCCTAAGGTTGCACAGTTAAGTGGCAAAGTCAGGATTTAAACCCAGGTCTCCAGCTTCCAAATCTAGTGCTCTTTTCATTGCTCTATGCTAGGCTTCATCTTTGGAGGGATTACCCACATGGATGAG